CCCCGGGTGTAGCGGCCTGGACCCAGCGCAGGTTTTGCTGGCTCGTGTGGTGACCTCCCTGTTTGCACCCGGTTGTCCTCCTGGGCTGGAGTCGTGGGGATGGTCAAGGCTTCCTGGTGTTTCTGGTTTCATGGATAAAAGCCCAAATTAGTATACGAGAGAGACAGATGGGGTAAGTGGAAACTGGAGCCCACATGTGTGCGCTCATCCGAAGTGCTCTTCCTTCTCTCCCGTGCCCCACGGCTGAGTGTGCGCCCGGAGGGCAGAGCTGAGGGAGGAGTCGCTGGCAGCAGAGCTGTCCTCAGGGAGGGAGGGGCGTGGCAGGGGGCATCGTGCATCCGTCCTGCTTCAGGTGACCCGCCGCACGGCCCGGATGGTGGCGGCGTGGCAGTGTGTGGGCTTCTGCCACGGCGTGCTCAACACGGACAACATGAGCATCGTGGGGCTCACCATCGACTACGGGCCCTTCGGCTTCCTGGACAGGTGAGCCGTGCGGGGCCGCTGGGGTGGCCTGCAGGTGTGGGGCTGCCGTTCTCCCTGTCCTGTTTGGAAACGCCTGGTCAGCCCTTCCCAGCGGCAGAAATCCCCCGGAAGGTTCCGGGATTGGAAATGGCCCCGGGGGCCCGAGCGGGAGCAGGCAGAGGGCTGCGGGCCAGAGCCAGCCAGGGGAGGCCGTGCCACTCTGCTGCTGACTGAGCGGGCGGGCGTCTGTGGCTGCGGCACCTGGACCTGAACTGCTCAGACCAGCACCCCAACCGGGCAGGGGGCCGGTGGCCCTGCAGATGAGGCCTGCCTCACCGCCCGCGGGGGTCCCCTCGCCCCGTGTGGCAGGTACGACCCCGACCACGTGTGCAACGCCTCGGACAGCGCGGGGCGCTACGCATACAGCAAGCAGCCCGAGGTCTGCAAGTGGAACCTGCAGAAGCTGGCGGAGGCGCTGGAGCCCGAGCTGCCCCGCGAGCAGGGGGAGGCCATCCTGGCCGAGGAGTTCGACGCCGAGTTCCGCGGCCACTACCTGCAGAAGATGCGCAGGAAGCTGGGCCTGGTGCGCACGGAGCTGCCCGACGACGGGGCGCTGGTGGCCAGGCTCCTGGAGACCATGCACCTGACGGGTGAGTGAGGGCCGGTGCCTCGGCGTTTGTCCGTGAACTAGACACAGCACAGAGTCGGCTGTTTCAACCATGCGGTGTGGGGTGTGGGGTTTGGGGGCAGCAGGCCCATTCACCCCGCTGGGCACCCATTGCCCCCGCCCGTCTCCCCACACAGACACCCTGTCCTCATTTCCTCCGCTTCCCGCGCCCCTGGCAGCCCCATTCCAGCGTCTGTCTCTGAATCTGACTCAACGCGGGGCCCTCGGTGATACGGGCCCATGCAGGGTCTGTCCCATGACCGCGCCGAGGACAGCGTCCCCAAGGCCCCAGATGGTGTGGTGGGTGTCGGCCTTCTGGGTCTCTCAGGGCTGAGTGAAAGCCCACGGTGTGGACGGACCACACGTCCCTCCTCCATCATCGCTGGTGCACGTGCCGTGGGATGTCTTCCCCTTGGCCTGCGTGGGTAACGGCACCACGGAGACAGACGTACGGACATCCGTTTGAGTCCCTGCCCTCGGTTCTCCCAGCACCGCGCGAGCAGAAGCATCCATGTGCGCGTCCCTCCAGCTCTCGGGAGTGCTCTTTCTCCTTCCCCAAACTGTGGCTTTTACGAAACCGAGGACGTGTCCTTCTGTCCCTGTTTGTTTTTACCACTGTGCGTGGCTGAGAGGAGCACGTGGCCGTCCTCCTCCCGTCGTGTCCTGTCTTAGGTCAAACCGTCGCAGGGGAGCGCGGCAGCTTGCCCAGCAGGCGCTGATGTCTCGCGGTTCTGGAGGCTGGAGGGCGGAGGTCAGGCTGCCGTGCGGTCGGGTTGCTGCTGAAGGCCTCCTTCCCCGGTGGGGGACCGAGAGGGAGCGAGGGCACAGACCCTGTCGGAGGCCACCACCGTCCTTGCCCGGGTGCTGGTCTGCGGTGTCTCTGCTCTGGTATCCAGGCGACGCTGCTCTCATGAGTTTGGAAATGTTCCCTCCTGTTCCAGAAGCTTGGGAAGAACTGGGGATCACCCCCCCGTTCAGCAGAGCTCAGCGGTGAGGCCGCTGGTCCTGCCGTTGTCTCTGCCGGGAGGTTCTGATTGCCCAGTGTCCTCACTCGCCTCAAGACTTCCCGGATTTTGTGTCTTCTGAGTCCGTCTTGGCAGACGGCGTTTCAGGGCCTCGGCCGCTTCATCTGCGCGTCGGGCGCATCAGCAAGGAGTCACCCGGTCTCCTACAGCCGTTTCTCCGTGATGGGCGGTCACAGCCCCACTCCCGTTCCCGATCTTAGTTACTTGCCTATAACCAAAAATGTCCATCTTCTTGATCTTTTCAAAGAATCAACAACTCTGGGTTTCAGTGACTTCTGCTTTTTTGTTGTTTCGTGTAACTCTGCTGTACCCTCTGTTCCCTTGCTGTCGGCCAGCCGTCGTCTTCGTGTTCTCTTTCTAGCGCCTTAGGTGTAAGGTTAAGTTATTGGCCGAGGCTTTTTTCCCTTTGAGAGGAACCGACCTGGAACAGTGTCAGGGGTACGCAATTCACTCTGTCGGGGTCACAGAACCATCGACGTCCATCACCCCACGGCTGCAAGTTACCTTTTCTCCTCGTGCTCTTCCGCCGTCGGTGATCAGCACCGCTAAGTTCCCGCCCAACCACTGCTTTCGTGGCGACCTGTCGAATTCAGTACTTACGTCTCCACATTCTCCTGCCCCTAAGTATTTTCTGATTTCCCTTGGGATTTCTTTTTGGACCCCCTGGTTAATCTTCAGTCTCTGGGGAATCTCTGGTTCTCCTTCTCTTTGTGCGTTGTCTCCGTCCCGTCGTGGTTGGAGAAGACGCCAGTCTCTCACGCAGGTTGACTTGCTTTATGGCTGAACGTGCGGTCTGTCCTCGAGAGCGTCCCCGGTGCCCTTGGGAAGACAGATGTCTGTCTGTCCGACAGAGTGGCCTGACCGCGTCCAAGGTCCTCGTCGGTCTGCCGTGGGGACGTTCCATCCGTTATCCAGGGCGGGGCACTGAAGCCTCTAGCTCCCGGGAACCTCCATTCTCCTTCCGTTCCGCGAGCGCTCGGTTTGTATGTCTGTAGCCGGGACACCTTCTGGGTGAACGGGCGGGCCGGCAGCGGCGACCCCGCTCCGCAGCTTCCGGTCTGCCTGGGCTACTTTTCCTGTCCCTTCTCTTTGGACCGGACAAGCTGAAATTACGTTTTTTTAGTTCGAGCTGCCGATCTTGTTTGGCAACGAATCCACTTAAAGTCCTTGCTGCTGAGGACTTCGGTCGTTATCTGTGTCCTCACCATTTTCACCCCTCGTTTTCTCCGCGACGGCTTTGTGTCCGCACTGCCTGGTCCCTTCTTGTTTCCTTCTGTGTCTGTCTCCAGGACGTTCTCCCGGGTTGACAGTGGTTGTGTTTAACAAGTCCGGCCGAGGACCTCCAGCACCTGCTGTATGTTGAGCCTGTGTGTCTGGACATGCGTCAGGGGCTTGTCCTCGATGCTCTGCCACACCAAGCAGGCAGTGAGGATGGTGACCACAGCGGGGGTGGCCAGAGGCTGACCTCGGTGCCTTTGCCATATTTACCTGATTCACGGATAAAGGAACAAACTTACAGTGACTTGCCAGGGTCAGAGTGGTGGCCGGGCTGGGTGGTGGGCTGGGGGCGGGCATTGCCGAGGCGGAGGCTGGAGGGAAGGGTCAGGAGCCCATGGGCCTGGCGAGGCATCCACACTTGGTGTGACAGCACCCTGAGCAGCGGCGTGTTCCAGGGGCCGACTTCACAAATACCTTCCACTTGCTGAGCTCCTTCCCAGTGGGGCCGGAGCCCCTGGGCCTGCCTGCATTCCTGGCCGCGCTCACCGCACAGTGCGCTTCCTTAGAGGAGCTGAAGCTCGCCTTCCGACCCCAGATGGATCCCCGGTGGGTACCCAGGTCTCACTTCCTTGGAATTTGCCTCCAGAAGGAGACGACTGTTAAGAGCAGAGCATGCTGGGGCACCCGGGAGGGGGCGGTCAGGCCCCCGTGTCAGCAGCGCTGAGGCCCGCTGGTCAGAGGGAAGGCCAGCAGTGCTGTCACCACTGGGGGAGGCCAGTGGCACAGGCCAGGGAGCAGCTTCCCAGAGTGGCTCTCTAGTGTGCCAGGAAGAGCCCCAGGGCCCTCAGGCCGCAGCTGGACCAGGCTTTTCTGCGCCGCCTCCCGCCAGGAAGAGCAGACGGCACCCAAGCCTGCACTCAGCAGCACGTGGGAAGCGCAGTGTCTGGGTTTTGATAAACAAGACAGCAGCCCGTGGTGTGAGAGAATTTAGTGCAGCAGTGCGGTGAGGACAGGCTAGCAGGACCGGGGAAGGGGGATTGGCCTTGCCCGCCCCACCCCCCGGCCTTCTGCGAGTGGGGAAGGACCCAGCCTTGGGGCCGCTGTGGAGAAGTGCACAGCAGTGACCCCCCCCTCCAGCGCTAAGCAGGTGCCCCACGCACCCTGGGGGCCTGCAAGTTAGCCCGCGGCACTTCCTCTCGGGGCGCCCATGTCCCAAGACCTGCAAGGGCCGCTGGAGAGTGGGGGTGGACGGCTGCCTCGCCCGTGGGGCCGGGGTCAGCCCCCGCCCCGGGGCAGTCAGCAGCGGCCCTGCGGAGCTGCTAAAGCCACCACCACCTCGCCTGGGCCCCGATGGCCGTCTTCCAGGTGCCCAGTGGCCTCAGGACACAGCCTGCGGCCAGGGGCGGGGCCAGGCCTCATGCTGCCCCTCTGCACAGGCAGCTCTCCATGATGCTGATGCTGGCACAGTCCAACCCTCAGCTGTTCGCGCTCATGGGCACGCGGGCAAGCGTCACGGAGGAGCTGGAGCGCATGGAGCAGCAGTCACGGCTGCAGCAGCTGACCCCGGCGGAGCTGCTGAGCAAGAACAGGGCCCACTGGACCGGCTGGCTCCAGGAGTACGGGTGAGGCCGTGGGGGCCGGGGCCAGCGACCCCCGCGCGAGGAACCGAACGAAGGAGGGGTGGGGGGGGTTCACTGGAAAAATGAACCTGGATGATTCCAGAGCCCGGCTGGAGAAGGACAGGGAGGGCGTGAGCGACCAGGACGCCTGGCAGGCCGAGCGCACACGCGTCATGCACGCCAACAACCCCAAGTACGTCCTGCGGAACTACATCGCCCAGAATGCCATCGAGGCCGCCGAGAACGGAGACTTCTCAGAGGCAAGCGCACACCCGTCCCTCCTCCATGCTTGGGTCCCGCAGCAGGCGGTGGCCCCGGGAGCGAGGGGCAGTCCCTAAAACTCCTCTCCTTGCTCTTCTCCAGGTGCGGCGGGTGCTGAAGCTTCTGGAAACCCCGTACCACAGGGACGGGGAGCCCACCGAGGCCCCGGGGGCCACCGGGGCAGACAGCGGGGGGAACTCCTACAGCAGCAAGCCCCCGCTGTGGGCGGCCGAACTGTGCGTGACGTGATCCTCGTAACGGCCTCGGAGGCCTCCACACGCGGAGTCCCGAGGCCCCGAGTCCCACCGAGTCCTTGAGGCGGCGCACACCCCGTGGGCACCCCAGCCCGTCTCTCCATGATGGCCGAGACGTCCAGTCAGGACCTGACCCGTCTCTGTCTGACGCAGACTCAGCAGCCCAGCCCGTGCTCGGTGCGCTCCCTATCAAAGCCGCTTTGTGCAAGGACAGGAGCTCAGCGGAGGGAAGCGGCCAGCGGGGAAGGGGCAGAGCAGCCCCAGCCCACCTCGCTGGCCTTAGGCCACTCAACCGCAGGCCACGGCGTGGCTCCTGCCTACTGGGGAGACACAGCCCCCAAATAAACCAGCAGCTTCCCTGGCGCATCTCTTGGTGGCTCTGCCCCTGGCCCGGCCGCCTGGGGAAGAGGTGATGGGGGGGGCTGGGGAGGGGGGGGGGGGGGGGGGGGGCGCCAGAACACACCTGTGTTGCACAGCCTCAGGCGTCCTGGTAGTAGTTGTTGAAGTTGATGCGCAGCAGGAAGTCCTCCAGGTGGGGCTGGTAGCCTCGGTTCACCAGCTTGGTCACCACTGGAGGGACGGGAGCAGCTCAGCCAGGCCCACCTCCGGGCTCCTGCCCCGCTGTCCCCAAGCCCTCCTGGCCCTGGGGGACAGTCACCTTTAAAGAGGAAGTGGGAGTAGTACTTAAAGGTGCTGTAGGACTGCTGCATGAGGGCGAAGTTGGGGTGCTCTGCGCCCCGGGGGCCGCTGGCAGGGACCCAGGGCTGGGAGATGAGCTGGCTGCGGAACTTGAGCACGAGGCTGAAGATGCTGTGGATGACGTTCATGACCGGCGCGGCCTTCTCGGTCAGCAGGCCCCTGCGGAAGCGCGCGGCCGCCGGTGAGGGGCGCCCGGGCCCCGGACGCGCACGCGCAGAGGTGCCCCGGGCGCCCGACTCACCGGAACACGGCCTTGTGCAGGTACTCGGCGTGCGCGCGCTGGATGTCCTCGAGGTCGCCCACCTGCGCCAGCCGGGCCCGGAACTCGCACCAGGTGACGTGCAGGATCTGGTTGGCGATGTAGCCCTGCGTGACCTTGACAAAGTGCTGCATCTCGTGCTTGAAGAGCTGCAGCTGGCGGAACTGCACGGAGCCGGCCGCGCGGCTCACCAGAGCTGCGGGGGAGGGGGGGGGGGGTGGGGGCGGGGTCAGGCGTGCGCGCGCGGGGCTCACCAAAGCTGGGGGGGTGGGGGCGGGGTCAGGCGTGCGCGCGCAGCCCAGGACGAGCCGGGCTCGGGCCGCCTCACCTGCGCGCTTCAGGTGGAAGCAGACGTCCTTGAGCGTCCACATCATGAGCTTGAGCTGCAGCAGGAAGGAGAAGATGCCGCTGTACCTGCTCAGGCAGCCCTCAGTGAGCACCACGTTCAGGGGCCAGTCGACCTGCGGGCGAAGCCAGCTCAGCACACCCCTGCGGGGACCCCCCCCCCCACCGCCACTCAGCCAGGCCCTGCTGACCTTGTACCTGAGCTCCAGGCAGCTCAGCACATCGGGCGCATTGGGGGCGAAGGCCTCGGGCAGGAACTTGAGGGCAAAGGAGAGGTTGGCGGCGTGCGGCGTGTCGCCGTGCAGGCTGTACCGCAGGGCCTTGCTGAGCACGGAGTTGAGCACCAGTGGGTTGAGCAGCTCCCCAGGCGTCTGGCCCGCCCCCAGCTGAGGCAGGAGAGGGCATAGGCGTCCTAAGGGAGTCCCGGCACCGGGGCCGGCAGCCATGCCCGCGCCGCGCCCCACGGTTACCTTCTCAAAGAGCAGGTCGCTGAGCGACTGTGCGAACTCGCCGTCCTCCATGAGCAGGAAATGCCGCAGCGCCTCGAAGTGCGCCTCCAGCCGCAGCTCCACGAAGAAGTAGTCCACGGCGGCCTTGTTCACCAACGAGACGCTGGCCGGAGGGGGTCAGGGTCAGGGGCAGTGGGGCGCGGGGCGGGCAGGGCGGGCAGGGCAGGGGTGGGCACTCACTGCGCGGCCAGCGGGGCGCTGATGGAGTGCTTCATGAGCACAGGCAGCGGCAGGAGCTCGCTCAGCTGCACCGCGGTCTCATCCGCGTCCGATGGGACGCGGGGGTCCTCCGGGAGGGCGAAGGCCCGGGGAAGCCCATGGTGTAGGAGGTGGGCAACAGGAGGCTCTGCTATAGGATGGCAGATGACCGTTCAGCACAGGGGACACGCTGGGCTTCCACCTGCCCGCCTGCCCGCCACAGCGACCGGCCACTCACACATGGCCTCATAGCTGTCCGGGTACTGCTCCAGCCCGTACTGCTCTGCCAGACCCGCTAGGTAGGCCTGCTCCTGGCCCCAGCGCTGGGCCGCGGCCGCCTCCTCACCAAGGCCGGGGCTGCTCTGGGCCGCCACGTCATCCTAGGAAGGAAAGGGACAGCGGGATCCCCTACGTGCAGCCCCATCCTGGCAGGCCAGACCCCTAACCCCATCTGTCCTCACCTGTGAGCTTGGAGGGTGACTTGGAGAGAGGTCCTCCGTGTCCCTACCCGGTCCCGGTCCTAAGCAACACAAGTGGGGCAGGAGCAGTATGAGGGCCAAGTGCCCCTCCACAGTGGGACCTCCCAGGTCCCCAGGGCTGCAGACTCCCTGCCCAGACCCCTCCTGGGCCCACAGATGCCACCAGTGATAGGGGAGCTGTAGGGGTCCCACTGACCTGGCTCTTCAGGGATACCATCACCCAGGTCCCCAGATGCAGCCACTGCGGACGGCAAAGCCTGGAGGCCATGTGGCTCCCCACCACTGGAACCAGCCGTCTCTGCAGGCAGTCGTGGCTCATGCTCACAGACGGGACTCTGTGCTCCCAGACTGAGACCCGACTGGGACACCTGGTCAGTGAGGCTCTGGCAGGGCCTGGGCATATTAGGCTGGCCTTGCCCAGAGAGTGCACTCAGCGCCACGTGGGACTGAGACACGTGTCCGTGGACATTCCACCGCGGTCGGGAGGGGGCCACATCCCACACGTTCTCCCCCACCTTGATGCTGGCATCAGACACGTGTCCATGGACGTTCCACCGTGGTCGAGAGGGGGCCATCCCAGAAGTACAGCCGCCTATGGGAACGCTGCCCTCTGACACATGCTCAAGGAGCTGCCCCATGGCCTGACTGCTCCCTTCCTGGGGGACGGTGTGCCCAGCGGGGTGGGGGTGAGGCAGAGCCACGTGTCTATCTGGGACACCTGTGTCCTCTGGCTGTGTGACACTGTCCCGCCACAGCTGTTGCCCCTCATTGCTCAAGCCACCTCCTACAGTCTGCAGGGACCCTGGGGAAGCCAAGGGGGCCACAGCGGGCCTCAGGATGGTTCTGAAATCATACTCCTGTGGCCCAGCAGGCCCTGTGGCCACCACATCAGATGGAGCCGAGGGAGGCAGGTCGGAGCCGATGGTTTGTAACGCCTCCTCCAGGACAGGGGCCACACCGGCATGCGCAGGCGGCTCGGCCTCCCGGGCTCTGGGCAGGAAGTCTTGGATGCTGAGGCCCTCGGAGAACGGCCCCGGCCCGGCCCCCGACCCCGGCCGCGGCTCAGCTCCTGGCCCCAAGCCGCAGGCCCCTGCAGCTGGTGGCCTGACTTGCTCCAGCGTCCCCACATTCGGGCGGTCCCAGGCAGCCACATGCCGCGGCTCTGCACACCCGGAGTCGGAGCTGCTGCCACCGGCGGGGTGCTCACAGCCCAAAGACAAAGTCTGAAACACAAGTGGGTGTCAGTCTCCCAAGCTCGGTTCTGCAACCAGCACCAAAGCTCATGGAGCCGGGAACTGCTGGAACAGCCAGTGCAGACGTGAGGCATCCAGTTCCCAACCCCGTGCCCTGCACCCGAACCCTGCCCCCAGCTCACCTGGGAGCCAGCAACAGGGAGGACAGCCAGGGGCTCCAGGGCCTTCCCCTCAGACACGTCCTTCAGCATCCCCTGAAATGCAGCGAACAGTGGTGAGCACCCAGCCCTGCACCATCCAACCCAAAGCCTCGGCTCCCAACACACAGAAGCCACGGCTCCCAACTGCCCAAACGGGCCACAGCACGGAGACGAGAAGAGCCTGGGCCTACAGAGAGCACCCTGAGCTGCCCGCCGTCCGGCGCCAGCACGGCCTCCTCCCAGTCCCGACGTCCCTGGGCAGAGTTGCCAACTCTTTCCCAGAACCCAGGTCCGCATGCACTCAAGGGTTCCGAGACCGCCGAAGCCCAGGGAAGAGCTCCCATGCGAAAGCAGCAATACCTGAATGTGCTCCTGATCCTCCACGAGGAAACGAAGCCGCGCGCTTGCCAGGCGGCGCCTCTGGATCTTCCACAGCGCCTTCTGCTCTCGGCGAGCAGCTTCTGCCGACAACTTGCTATAATGGTCAACCAGCGCCTGCCTAAAGCCACACCCAGAGAGACCCAGCTGCCACGGTCGCCCGACACTGTCCAGCTGGTACCCCACGGGCTAGGGTGGCTCTCCACGGCAGAGGCCCTCGGCACCTTCCCAGGCCAGCAGCTGGTCCCCGGTGGGGCCCCCTACTGCACCTGCAGGGGCCTCGCTGGGCACGTGTTTCTGCCCACCAGACCAGGACCCCGGAGGACAGGTGCCTAGCCCGGGCTCAGCTGACATCTGCTGAGCAAACACCAGAATGAGCCGCTACACGGTCGGAAGCAAGAGGACAGGCAGGAGGCCCAGGGCTGCCAGGCCCCCCGTACGAGAGGTACCTTCCTATTCTACTGAACTAAAGACAAGTGCCCAAGGGTACAGAGAGCATAAGGCAAACGCCGCATCTGCTTCCCTGGCAGCTCTCCCTGCACGTTACTCCCGGCAATTCTGGTCCTTTCACCAGCAGGGAACAGGGTCAGACCTGGGCGGGCTCATTCCCACTCGGATGTCCCAGACCAGGGACACGGCCCTGCACTTTGTTGTCTCCCATCGGCGACAGAAGAACATCCACCCCACACGCACAGAGGCGCACACGTGCCCAGGTGCACACACACGACACGTGCTCCGTGAACAGTATCTAAGGTCAGGATGACTGTGGTCCTGAGAGAAGAGGCAGGAAGAGACAGCCCCCCACAAAGGTGCCCCTGGGAGAGGCCGGCTCTGCTGCCGGGTTACAGGAGACGCAAGGGAGGGCGGGGCAAGGTAAAGGCACCATGAGACAGCCTCCTGGACACTGGGCTGGACAAATGCCCCGTCCATCTAGCGTCAGGCTCACCAGAGGCTTAAAAATAAGAAAAGGGACAGGAGTTGTTGAACTTGAAAAAAAACAAGAGACAGGCAAGCAGGAGAGACAGACCCACCGTGAGTGCCCTGTCTGGGCTCCAGTCCACACTAACCCACCGCGAAGAGACGCGCAGAGGACAGGGGAGCACACTGCGCATGGCGGAGCTGCCTGAAGCCCTCAGCCCAGGTGCACGCGGGAGCTCGGACCCACTCTTCACACACACACGTGAGAATCTTCAAGATGCAAAGACGACCCTCACGAGATCATGCCAGGACAGCCCAGAGTGGCCGCCTCACCCGCGACCGCCTACCTCGCCTTCCTCTCCAGCTGCTCCTCCAGGGCCCTCAGCCGCCTCTCCCTGTCGCAGAGCTCTCGCACTCGGCCGGCGTCATCATCCAGGGCCTCCTGCCGGGCTGCCCGGCGCCGCTGCACGAGGCACCACACGTGGCCCCGTGGGTCAGAGCTGGACCCCATGGGCCCCCGCCCCCTGGCACCCCTGCACGGGGCACCACACGCGGCCCCGCGGGCCCCAACCCCCAGCAGCCACACCGCCTACCTCCTGGTCCTGCACAAACTGCTCCTTCAGCCTCTGAAACTGCTCTCGCTTCCGGGCGTCCAAGGCCATGCGTTCCGAGGTCTGCCGATCTGTGGAGATGAGGGGTGCGGCGTGGTGAGGTGACTGCGCAGGCAGCCCCAGAGCCACAGAGGGTGACCCGAGCCGCACGTACCACTGAGCGCTCGCAGGACTCTGGACGCTGCTTCCCGAGCCTGGACAATCAATTCTTGCTTTGCAATTTCCATTCGTAATTCCTGAAAAAGACCATCTATCAACACATCCAAATTCTCTGTCCCCCGCTCTAGGGCGGCCTCAGAGCAGGGGCTGCTCAGACCCCACACAGGCCCCTCCAGGGGCAGCACCCTGGCTCCACAAGCCTCGGCAGTCAACACGCAGCCCCCCGCCCCGAGCAATCTGGGCCGGGACCCCAGGCCTGCACGCACCCACCCGGAGGAGAGCAGGAGCTCGCGGTGGGCTTCTCCACAGGGATGGAGGACCAGGCCCTCCCTGCCTCCACCCCTCCTTGTTCTCCTTGTTCTCTCAGGTCTCCCCTGGGGGGCCAGGCCAGAAACGGCCTCCCATCAAACCCCTCCCCGGGCACGCAAAACACTCAAAGCTCAGGTCCTGGTACACCAGCCAGCCCCTTCCGAGCAAGAGAGGAGCTCAGAGGCCTCCGAGTGTGGGAACCTCTGGTCCTCCTGCCCAGGACTGGGCCTACCACCCAGCCAGCCCCAGAGAGGAAAGGACAGCCCCTGCCCAGGCGTCCCCCACCCAGATAACCCTACCCAGACACAGAACACCAGAGGCGGCCTCCCCATCAGCCCGAGACCCTCAGAGGGGAGGGAGGTCCCACAGCGCCCAGCACCTTCTCCTCCTTGCTGATGCAGCTGTGGCGTGCCACCCTCTCCATCCGCCCCACGTAGATGGCACAGTCCCTCTCGACCTCCTTCAACTCCTCAGGGGAGAAAATCACCGAGATCCGAGGGACGGGGACATCAGACCAGCAGAGGTAATGCTACAAAGAGGGAAAAGCTGAGGTGAGCCAGTGACATGCAGACCCATGCCCAGCTCTGCCTCTGTTCCCGGTGACCTGTGGGGATAGCTCCCTTTCTCAGAAATGTCCATTCACCCGAGGGGCATGGCTCCAGGACACTCCAGATGGGTTGTGTGTGGTCTCTGCCCAGGCCATGGCTGCCTCCCACCAATGACCCTCCAGAAGCCATGAAGACCTCTTCTCGGCTTCCCTCACTGGAGGAGTGCGGGCTACAGGCCTGGGCACAGGCCTTGAGCTCAGCCCGGACAGAACAGACCCCATCCCACAGCCAGCCACCCCCAAGACCCGCTCCCTCCCCAGGGAGCCCCGGCCTGTGCACTCCCCAGCATCTGCCCCTCCCCATGTCCTGGCAGCTTCGGTCTATTCTCAGCCCAGCACAGGGAGACCCCATGAGCCACAGGCCTCCTCCCAGCCCCATCCTGGGCAACCCGCCTGCACCCCACTCCACAGCTCTTCACCCCATGGACGACACGTGGGCCGCTGCCAGGCCTCCTCTTTGGAGCCTGGCAAACCCTTCTCCCCCAACCCACTAAGCCACGAAGACATGACTCCCTAAACCAGGTCCACCCTCCTGGGGATGTGGCCCATAACTGTCCCACTGGGGCAGTTTCCTGCATGGAGAAAGGAGGAAGGATGGAAGGAGCCCACCACCCCTTGGCCTCCAAAATGCCTTTGCTTCTCGTCCTGTCTCTGCACAAGCTCCCAGAGACTCGACGAAGCTGCCTGTGACACTCAGGGGAAAACGAGAGCTGACCACAAACTACAGACACAAAGGGACAGGAGGGCGGGCCCCCTCACCCGGGGGCAGCAGACTTTCAGCAAGTTGATGGTCTTCCCGCAGACGTACACATCATGGGCAATGTGCTTCAAGAACACGGGGACGCAGTCCTCCACCTCTTTGGAAATGAGCACATAGCCATGGGTCCAGTAAAACTTATCTGAATTGGGGACAGGACACATGGCCGGCCGGGGTTGAGCACTAGCCCTGAGCCACATGATGGCAGAGGCCCAGCCCAGCCACCAGCAACCGCCTACCTCTGAAGCCCAAGTACTCGTGGTTCACCTGGATCATGAACTCGCCGCAGACATCTCTGAAGACGCCACTGTACACCCAGTCGTGGATGAACCTGCCACAGCGGGTGGGCCCACAGTGAAGGGTCATGGCGGCCACATGTGTATTTTGACCAAGGCCACAGCCCAACCCCCTCCTGCCCTGCCTCCCCACACAGTTCTCCCCCCTCCTCCCATACAGTCTCCACCATTAGCAGGTGTGCGACAACAGACTGCTGTTGTACATCTGCGGTGGGTACACGGTCCGCGTGGGGTACGTGGTCTGCGCAGGGTTCGCGGCCTGCATGGGGTACGCAGGGTGCACAGGGTACACGGTCTGCGATGGGTGCGCAGTGTGCTCGGTACGCGGTATGCGCAGGGTTCACTGGGTGCATGGGGTACATGGTCTGCGGTGGGTGCATGGTGTGCTCAGGGTACACGGTTTATGCAGGGTTCACGGTCTGCACAGGGTACATGGTCTGCATGAGGTAGGCGGTCTGCGTAGGGTACGTGGGGTATGTGGGGTGCACGGGGTACACAGTCTGCGTGGGGTTCGCAGTCGGCTCAGGGTTCATGGTCTCCACGGGGTTCATGGTCTGCTCGGGGTACGCGGGGTGCACAGGGTATATGGTCTGCGCGGGGTACGTGGTCTGCATGGGGTTCACGGTCTGCGTGGGGTTTGCAGGGTGCATGGGGTACACGGTCTCCGCAGGGTGCATGGAGTACATGGTCTGCATGGGGTTCACGGCTACGCAGGGTTTGCAGGGTGCATGGGGTACATGGTTTGCACAGGGTTCATGGTCTGCTCAGGGTTCGTGGTCTGCACAGGGTACGCAGTCTGCTCGGGGTACGCGGGGTGCACAGGGTGCACGGTCCGCACAGGGTTCGCGGTCTGCGCGGGGTACATGTTCTGCACAGGTTCACACGGTGCATGGAGTACACGGTCTGCACGGCAGGGGACTGCGGTGTTCGCGGTCTGTGCGGGCCCCACCTTGTGTAGGGCTCGCAGCTGGTCTTCAGCAGGGACAGCAGCACGGGATAGTGCTCGTTGCTGCAATTATCCAGAGCTTCCTGGTACAGGTAGGAGAGCAGCTTCACCCCCTGGAGACAGCAAGGGGAGGTTTAGGGCACTCACCCCATGCCCCTGACACCCAGCAGCAGCCCCACCACCCGGCCACCCCTTGGGAAGAACCAGAACTCACGGTGGGGAAGGCGGCCTTGGGTTCCCCGCTGCCGCTACCTGGGAGCACAGTGCCCACGCCACAGAGCTCGGCCAGGTACCTAGATGCAGAGGATGCATGAAACCAGGTGGGCAGATGCACTGCACCTCCAGGTCCAGGGACACCGGAGCAGAATGTCCCTCAGGCCCATTTCTGCCTGCCTTTACAGAGTACAGGGACTCCAGACCAGAGCCTCCTGCCTGGCCCCTCCCTGCACACCCCGTACACCCCCACCCCCTTCTCAGGCTCGGACAAGACTCAGAGCCCCTGAGTCTGTGACCCTTCCCCTGCACCTGTCGCACCCTACCGCGTCCCGCCCAGTGACATCTCCTCTCACTCGCTGACTGGGCAGACCCTGCCCAGACCCCTCGGCCTCCACCCTGCTGCAGTCCACGTCCACAAGACAGCACTGTGCGCCTGCCCCGCCACCCCCCTGCACCCCACCGCTAGCCCCTCTGCCCGTGAGGTGTCCCCTCCCACTGAACCACCCTCCCCAGCACCCCCAGGCCCCATGCTCCCTTCTCCCAAGGGCACCCACCACACCACTCCACCCGCTGTTTACCCACTGGCCCGTGAGCACCAGGAGCCAGGACTGTGGGGACCCTGGGTGCCTTTCAGGCAGGAGCCCCCAACCCCAGACAGGGCCTGCCACAGAGGGCCACCAACAGATACTCAGCACACAGCACCCGGGGAGCCCGTCGCGGGCAAGGGCCCCGGTTCCCACCAGCCCTTCGCAGCCCAGCAAGCCCTACAGCGGCCCCCCGCCAGGGCTCACCTGAGCTGCCGCCCCAGTTTCTTGAAGAGAAAGCCAACGGTGAGGAGGCTCAGGGTGGGTGGGGTGGAGAGGACGCAGGCCCGATAGTACTGTAGGTACCTCCTCAGGCCGCTGGTGAAGGCCTGCAGGGAGAGGGGCTGGAGGCAGGGTGGCCGCGCACGGGGATGCCACTGCGGCATGCAGAATTCGGAGGACACCACTGGAGTGGGTCCTGGGGCTCCATCATTTGCGGAACGACCATCTCCGGGTCGTGCCCAGGGACCCCCGCCCAGCTGGAAGCAAGGACCCTTCACGAAATCCCAGAGCCCAGACCAGCTACACCGGGAAACCTGGAACTGTGGGTCCCAGGGGGAGTTCCGAACCACCGGGGCCTCGACCACACGTGCGTCCGGGGCCGCATCCACAGCCACGGGGCCCTAGCTCAGCCTCCATCTCCACAGGAGGTCTGCACGGAAGGCTCCGGAACAAAAGTCAGTTCACCCACCAGCCATGTCCCCCGACCCACACAGCGGTCCCTCCCATCTTCGTCGGTTCCCTCCTTGCCTCCACCAGCCGACCTGTGCCGTCTCACACCTGAACCTCATCAGGTCAGCCAAAGGCAATGCCACTGGGCCCCAAAGTGAAGGGACCCAAAGTGCCCCCGCTGGGCCCCAGCACCTTGTCTCCTCTGCTCAGCCTCCCTGCTGCTGTTTTCTCTGTTCTCCCAAAGCTCCTGCCCCATCTGGAGGCCTGTCCCTCCCAGCAGCCCACACCTGCTGTCCCGGGGTTGGGGGTGCTCTACCCGGCATATGGGCCGACTGCAAGGTTCTCCAGAAGAGATGGCTCAGCCCCAGGGCCTAGAACCCCAGTGTCCCAAATAAGGGAGGACACGGTGTGACTCCCTGAGGGCCGAGCGGGGAGCAGGCAGTGCACGCCCACCCCGTACTGCCCTGGCCCCGAATGCCAGCTGCACCTCTGTCCCACGGCCTAAACACGGGCTCCCCAGGTCTGCAGGTAAGTGACACGGGGCTAAAACATCATCCCGGGGGACCCCGTTCCCAAAGAGTGACTGTCAGCTTTTAGACGTTGCTAAGGAAACAAAAGGTGGTCCTGGGGTAGAATTCTGAGGTTCCCGGGAAGGTCTGGGACAGCCACAAGGCAGAGGGCCACACCTGGAACACGAGGCCCTTGCCGCACGAGGAGTCCAGCACAGGCTGCAGAGAGAACTGGCTCAGACGTGCGTAGTGCGTCCCACACTCGGCCACCTCGGAGAGGAGGCTGCTGACGCTCTCGGGAGAGGCTCCGGACACATGGACACCTCGCTTCACCATGAAGGTCTGGGCCGGCTGGACAGGGCAGAACAGAGGCTGCTGAGTCAGGCACCCAACATGGTATCGCTGCCCCCTCCACCCCCTCAGCACGGCGCAGTGTCCCCAAAACCACGACGCACAGACAGGAAGCACTGAGAGCGGAGAGCAGACGGCCACCAGGCAGAGCCCGACCGTCCCCCACTCAGCAACAGAAGCTACGCCTGCAGAAACAAGGCAGATTTCTCAAGGACCACACTGCAGAGTGCACGTCGGAACGTGACGCCCACTGCGGGTGAGGGCGCAGAGGGACACACCGCCTCCCATGCGGCACAGCCGTGCACGCAGAACACCTGCAGCGCAGGCACCGGATCTGGTCGCTCGGCTCGCAGGGGCACCACAGGGCACCCCAAGGCAGTAACACACGGCTGCGGCTGAGCCAGGCAGGCCAATGGACAAGCCCCAGACGTCCCAGCCAACGCAGCTCTAGCCACAGGCTCCAACAGACACAACACCTCCCAACACGTTAAGATGATAAATGTTCTGGGGCGCCTGGGTGGCTCAGTGGGTTAAAGCCTCTGCCTTCGGCTCGGATCATGGTCCTGGGGTCCTGGGATCGAGCCCCTCATCCGGCTCTCTGCCCAGCAGGGAGCCTGCTTCCTCCTCTCCTCTCTGCCTGCCTCTCTGCCTACTTGTGATCTCTGTCAAAAAAATAAATAAAATCTTTAAAAAAAAAAAAGATGATAAATGTTTTGTGTGTTTTATTGCAATTTAAAGAAAAATTTAAGTAAACAAAAACCTCTCCCAACAAAGAAGAGCTCGGGACCAGACGGGCGTTATCAGTGAACTCTACCAAACAATTGAAGAACTAACACCAATTGTTCTCAAACTCTTCCAAAACCCAAAAGGGGGGAATACTTCCCAGCTCTAAGAGGCCAGTATTGCCCTGATTCCAAAGCGAGACAGACACTATAAGAACAGAAAACTACAGGCCAACATCCCTTATGAACATAAATGTAAAAGTCTCTGACAAAATGGGGCGCCTGGGTGGCTCAGTGGGTTAAGCCGCTGCCTTCGGCTCGGGTCATGATCTCAGGGTCCTGGGATCGAGCCCCGCATCGGGCTCTCTGCTCAGCAGGGAGCCTGCTTCCTCCTCTCTCTCTGCCTGCCTCTCTGCCTACTTGTGATCTCTGTCTGTCAAATAAATAAATAAAATCTTAAAAAAAAAAAAAAGTCTCTGACAAAATACTAACAAATCGGGGCGCCTGGGTGGCTCAGCTGGTGAAGCATCTGACTCTTGGTTTCGGCTCAGGTCATGGTTTCAGGGTCGTGCGATGGACCCCCATGGGCACCATCCTGGACGTGGAGTCTGCTTGAGAGTCTCCAGCTTTCCCTGGCCACCCACCCAAAAATGAAATAAATAAATGTGAAAAAGAAAATACTAACAAATTAAGCCCTGCGGCACATTAAGAAAGGGAGGCTCGGCACCCAGGAATCCATCAGTCCGGCCTTCACCGAGGGTCACGTTGGTCTGCGAGCTGCTTCAGCACCACAGCAGAAGACATCCAGACCGAAACCGGGAACTTCCAGGACTTCGTGACCACTAAAGGGGAGACATCTCCGTGCGCAACGTACCAGCACCATATCCTGGGTGTCAGCCTGGGACAACCACCAGGCAGGAGGCATGTTTCCTGGGAAGGTGGGACCTAGCTGCACCCCTCCCCTCTGTCCTCCATCCATCTCCCACCTGTGTGCCCACTGACCCCCACCCTGGGATCCTGAATCACAGCTCAGCTAACGATAAATACTCATTGGAGAAGTGGAAAAAAACAAAACAATAACGCTATAAACCACAATAGAATGAAGAAAAAATAGTGTTACCTTAATTGGTGCAAAGAAAGCATTTGACAGATTCCAGCACACTTCAAGATAAAACCCACGTATGACAAGCCCACGGTTAGCACCACGCTCCACAGTCAAAGACCACAAGATTTTCCCTAGGACACGGGAGGCAGGAATGTCAGCTTTCACCACTTCTGTTTAAAACAGCAGTAGTGGGGCGCCCGGGTGGCTCAGTGGGTTAAGCCACTGCCTTCGGCTCAGGTCATGATCTCAGGGTCCTGTGATCGAGTCCCACATCGGGCTCTCTGCTCAGCGGAGAGCTTGCTTCCCTCTCTCTCTCTCTGCCTGCCTCTGCCTACTTGTGATCTCTCTCTGTCAAAAAATTAAATAAAATCTTTAAAAAAAAAAAATAAAAAAAAATAAAACAGCAGTAGTGGGGCGCCTGGGTGGCTCAGTGGGTTAAGCCTCTGCCTTTGGCTCGGGTCATGGTCCCAGGGTCCTGGGATCGAGCCCCACATCGGGCTCTCTGCTCACTGGGGAGCCTGCTTCCCCTGCCCCTCTGCCCGCTTCTCTATCTACTTGTGATCTCGCTCTCTGTCAAATAAAGAAAGAAAACCTTAACAAAAAAAAGAAAGGAAGGAAGGAGCAGGGGACACCTGCCATGACCTGGGGAGGCCCTGAGGACGCAGTGCTGAGTGAAACCAGCCAGACACAGGACAGTCCTGTCTGGCCCCACTTCCCGGAGGCACCCACAGTGGTCAGACTCAGAGCAGACGGCGGGGCCGGGGAGGGGGCTGCAGGGGGAGAGTATGTGATGGGGACAGAGGTTGGGAAGTTCAGGTTGGGAAGATGATGATCACACAACACTGGGAATGTAGCCAATGCCACTGAACAGCATACTTAAAAGTGGTTTAAAAAAAAACGTGGGGGGCACCTGGGTGGGGCGGGCAGTCAGGTGTCTGACTCCAGTGTCAGCTCAGGTCCTACTCGCAGGATCGTGAGCTCGGGCCCACGATGGGCTCGGCGCTTGGTGAGGGATCATTCCCTCGACCTGCCCCTCGCCGCCTGCTCACAAGCACACACACACGTGCATTCTCTCTCAAAATGAATAAATCTTACCCCAAAAAAGTGATTAAGATGGTAAATTTTCTCTTATGTGTATTTTACTGAAACTGAAAATAAAAGGAGGGGGGTTGCTTCCACAGTAAGGTCATTCGTACAAGGCCTCAAAACGGCATTCTAGAAAGTCTCCAGAGGGTGGCCCTCACCCCAGCACCCCCGTCAGTCACCTGAGGGGTCAGCAGGACCTCTTGTCTCCGGGACAACCCCCAGGACGCACACTGAGCACATACTCAAGTTCAAGAACAGCCACTTTGTAACGACGCTTAAGATCCGGAGAGACGGCTGCTGACCCGAGAGAAGGCCGCAGAGTGCGCAGGAAAGGCTTCGTGCTTGTGAATACATTCGTTCACTTCATGAGAGCCCGCCAAGGGGCAAACGGTAGAAAAACGGCCGCTGCTGCTCAGAATGAGCCCAGTCCCGCCCACTGGCCAGGAGAGAAGCCCACAGCACTGAGTAAAGCCAGCGACCGTGTCCAAACCGCGGGCCCCCTTCCTGCACGGCAGGTGCTCCCCGGGGCCGAATGTGCGTCCCGCCAAGCACAGGGAAGGCTCAGAGGGCCACTCGGGGCCTCTTGAGGACGGCCAGGGAAACAGGGAGCACATTTCCATGGTTCCACCAATAGCAAAAAACATCTCACTTTTGTTCAGTTCTGGAAGGATGTTCATAAACGAGTACTTTTTAGAACTGAAACGAGAAGACCGTGGCCATGTCCTCCAGGCAGGCCGTGGAGCCAGCTTCCCCGGCGACCTACGGCGTCCTCCCCCGGCCCACCGCTGAGGCTGGCATCCAGCCGCCCACTTACTGCCCTGGGCTCCCGTCTGCCCCGCACAGTGCCCGGCCGACGGCGGGCTGTCAAACGGAGACGGGGCTGTCCCCGCACGCCAGCGCTTGCTCACCTGGCAGAGGGAAAACGTGGCCGACGCGACCCCGATCAGGACGTTCAGCGCGTCCTTCACCAGCTCACACTCCTTCACCAGGACAAGCGGTGGGGCCTGTAGCAGGCCCCCGCCAAGCACCTGCAGCTCCCCGTGGCGGAGCCTGCAGAACCTGTCGAAGGTGTCCCTTCCGGCCTCGGTGAGGTACGGCTCCTCTCTGTGGCCGGGGGGGCTGTGGGAGACAGAGGAGGGGGCACTGAGCGGACGGAGCGACACAGACACCTCAGCTACATATAGAGAAGCCCGGGGAGAGAGAGACGAAGACCAGAAGCAGCAGGAAGCGCCCCCGCCTGCCCAGTGCCCAGGGCCACAGGCCGGTCCTCAGCATGACGACCACACGGTGTCTACAACAGCACGATTCACAACAGCCCAAAGGCGGACGCAGCCCAGGTGTCCACGGACAGACGAGTGGGTGAACAACACATGGCCTGTCCATAAAGTGGACGATGACTCGGGCCCAGAACGGACACTAACACCTGCTGAACTTCGAAGACATTATACTAAGTTAAAGAAGCCACAGAGAAAACCGTAGGTGCTAAACAAGCGTGAGGGCAAATCTCATGCTATGCGCACTGGCCGCTCCTGCGTTCCGGGACGGCGCCAGGCGGCCAGCAGGGGGAGCTCCCGGTCGGGGCCGCCCCAGCAGGACCAGGCCCAGGAGCAGGTGACTCCCAGCCCCAGCAGCAGCTCCCTCCTGGCGGGGCACAAAGAACAGGAACGGACTGTGAGAGCCCCTGCCGGCCCTCCGGGGACCCTGATGAGCTCTCCTTTATTCAGTTTCAAGAAACAAAAAGTCGCACAAATTTTGGGATGTAACATGCCTGCTGGGTCTTGCAGAAGGTGTCTCCCAGCACACGGCAGCCTCGGGGGCTCTGCCTCACATGGTGCTGTGCTAGGAATTCACAGCCACATCATTCAAAAGCAGCCCAAAAAACCAGTATCACTTTTTCAACATTCCTTTGAAAACCATCAACCCGTACTGAAAAACATAAAAGAGCTGTTTTTTAAAATCCACTAAAAAACTAATTTCTTAATAAGGGGAGCTTAGGGAACACAAGCCCTTTTAAAACTTTTCTTCTGGGGCGCCTGGGTGGCTCAGTGGGTTAAGCCTCTGCCTTCGGCTCAGGTCATGATCCCAGGGTCCTGGGATCGAGCCCCGCATCGGGCTCTCTGCTCAGCGGGGAGCCTGCTTCCCTCTCTCTCTGCCTGCCTCTCTGCCTACTTGTGATCTCTATCAAATAAATAAATAAAATCTTTTAAAAAATGGAAAATAAAAAATAAAATAAATAAATAAAATTTTCTTCTCATTTTTAATACCTAACCAGCTCCTTTCCCTTCCTCTACACAAAACAAAAAACAAAAACCTTATTTTTAGGTCTTGCATGTCCAAAGAGTATCATTTATTCTTCAAAGACAAAAGTCACTTCCTGAAGGGGTAACAGCTCCAAGCTTGAGGACAGTCTAACATCAAGACACACATCTGACCACCAGCACGTCTGTATCCCCATCAGGCATGAGACACAAGATACAAGAACAATACATCTCAGAACCTATTAAACCAAAAATCCTTCTGAGGCACCTAGGGGATTCATGCGGTGAAGCGTCTGCCTTCAGTTCAGGTCATGATCTCGGGGTCCTGGGATCAAACCCCACATTGATCAAGTCCTGCATCAGGCTCCCTGTTCAGCAGGGAGTCTGCTTCTCCGTCTGCCCCTCCCCCTGCTCCTGCTCTCTCTCGCAAACAAAACCTTTTTTTTAAGATTTTATTTATTTGAGAGACAGAGAGAGAGAAAAGAAACAGGGGGAGAGGGGATTGGGGGGGCAGAGAAGCAGGCTCCCCGCTGAGCAGGGAACCCGATGTGGGGCTCGATCCCGGGCCCCTGCAATCATGACCTGAGCTGAAGGCAGTTTCTTAACTGACTGAGCCCCCCAGCTGGCCCTCTCTCGCAAATAAATAAAATCTTAAAAAAAAAAAAAAATCAAAACTCCTTTTTAATTGACAATGCACGTCAATCCTCCTTCCCCTCATTCAGCAAGTATGTGAGTGCAGGGGGAGCAGCAAGGAGGACACGCCCAGCCTCACGGAGGAGGTGCCAGGGACCAGACTAACAGGAGGAAGCACCGACTGGGATCCCAGGGCGGGGCGGGGCTCCAAGAGGCCCTGCCCTGGGAGCAGCAAGAGGAGGAAAGAGTCAGTGTGAGTGGAGCTGGGGGGACGCGGGGAGGACTTCACGGGAGGATTGGCCCTTGCCCCAGACCCAGGGCAGCCACAAGTGTTGCAGGCAGAGTGACGACGTGCTCGGCTCTCTGGCTCTGGAGGGCAGCACCGACTGTGTGGAGGATGAAGGAGGGGCGGGGGGGACAGACAAGCCAGTTCCAAGGCGTCCAGGTTGGCAAGTGGGCTGCGGCCAGACCACGGACGTCTGCCCTCACTCCCTCGGGAGAGAAAAGCATGAGGAAAGGCCTCTCAGGATCCAAAGTCCTTCTGAGATTCCTCGAGGGAGTCGCTGAGGGCAGGTGTACGCCTCAGGTGCCATCCCATCTCTCACCCCCCAGCTGCTCCTGCGCCCACTCTTCCAGGGTCAACACCAGCACCACTATGGCCACGTGTGCACCCTCTGGGAACAGAGCGAAGGCAGAAAATCCCATGAAGGAAAACACCAAATTCCCCTTGTCCCCCCGGAGAACTCAGCCATGAACATAATGAAACCAAACCCCCCCGCCCCCGCAGAATGAGCACAGCCACAGAGAAACGGCAGGGAAGGCCAGCGGCAGGAAGGGCAGCCTTCAGACCTACGTGGGTGCTCAGGCTGAAGCAGCAAGAGGGGTCCTCCAGGCTCTCGGAGGACAGTTACGGTCCTGGGGCTGAGGGCGGACAGGCAGCTCAGGCTGTGGAGGGCAGCAGTCTCCCCAGCTGCTCACTAGCCAGAGACCATGGTAGGAAACCAGCAGATGGCTGGCTATAAACTGAAACAAGTTCAAAGACTTGCCAAATGATCTAGAACAGAAAGCCTCATGGCTCAGGGCCCTGTGGGATCAGGGTTGCACCAGAACAGGCAGAGGATGGTGCTTGGGGGAGGGGAGGGGAGGCAAGAACAGAGGTCTGGTGAGCAATCCTATCTCCTAAACAGTTACCTAAAAAGCAGGAACTAATGAATGAAATACCACTAAGCAAATATATACAAAAGAAAGTGGTAACTTGTTGGCCCACTTTTGAGATACGTGAGGGGTTAGCGGCAAGTGGGATGGCTAGACTTGCTTTGTGCACACGAGACAGAAAGGTTGCAGGACAGGAAAGACAAGGCAACCTCCACCAGCGGTGCGAAGGGAAGCGGGGAGCTGGCCATCCACTGCGGAGGAACCCACTGCAGGGGTGGGGGTGTAGATGACCTCGCCAGCAGGAGCGGTGCCCGAACACAACTGGCACTTGTCTACACCCTAACACGTGTCCGTCCTCGGGAGACCCTGCTGGCCCCCAGGTGCTGCTCCAAAGGGTACCCCTGCTAACCCTGCCTCTTCCATCCCGTGCTCCCCAAAGTGGTCTTCCACAGAACTGCCAGCACATGAGATAGGACAAGAGGGTCCCAGGAGCAGATAGTGGGAAATGTGTGTCCTCCAGCCCCAATCTGGGAGCTTCTGAGGGACACCATCGCTTTATAGACTCTGGGAGTCCTCCGTGCAGAGGCCTCTGGACCCGGATGGGCCCAGGGGAGCACTGCAATGACTGGAACTTGTCCGCCAAAGAGCACCAGTGTCAGTCCTCGATGTGAAGACTGTGCCTGGCCCTGACTGCTCAGCCTGCGGGGCTGCCCTCCACAGCTCCGACTGGGGCCCGACTGGGGGCCCTCACGGTATCACACCACTCCTTGCCAACGGACTCTCTGATTTGCGGAAGTTACTGGCACCTGCAAGTCCTTCCCCTCAGCATCTCTCTCACCTCCCGGGACCCAGGTCAGGCCACACATGAGCCTGACTAAAACTTCCCAGCTCTTCATCCCACCATAGCTGCTCTACAAACAATGGCCTAAGCTCTCCTGAGTAAAGGCCATGTTCACACCTTGGGGGGGGGGGCGCGAAGGGCTGCGTTTAGGGGCAAAGGCCTACGTACCATCCAACTTGCTCCCAGCACCTCCGCTTGCTGGCCTCGTAGGTGAGCACGGCGTCCCACAGGTCGATGTCTGGAGTCATGCCTGGTTCAGACTGGGAGTCAGGAGTCAAATTAGATGCCGACTGGAACCCTTCATCGTCAGACTGATCCACACTCTGAGGAACCTGGAGACCACAGGAGAGAAGGAAACATCACATATGCTTTTGGGTCTAAATTTCACCCAAGTGTGGTCAGAATTCCTGGACTCCCCCCAAGAAACACCCAGCAGAACGTTTCCTCTACTTTTCCCAAGCACGTAGCTACTCCACGTTTTCACTCCCACCGAACCATTTAAGGGACCAAGTAAGATGATCAATTTCCAGTTGCGTAAGACACATAAAGGCATCAATATAACTTAAAACGGAATTTTTCATGAAATGGTTCTAATGTGAAAATCCATTTTGGGGAACCCAGCACACAAAAATCATAGTAGGGGCATCTGGGGCGTTCAGTCCATTAGGCATCTGCCTAACTCCCCAGGGTCTTGGGATCGAGCCCCATGTCGGGCTCCCTGCTCAGCACGCAGCCTGCTTCTCCCGCTGCCCCCACACTCGTGCGTGCACTCTCAAATAAGCAAATAAATTCTTTAAATTCTTTAAAAATTAAAAGAATAAAAAATGAAAAAAACATAGTAAATAGAAAAACTTAGTTTGTTATAGTGAGAATTTTTCATAGTAAGGGAATAAGTGAGTAATGATAGCACTGAAATGTTTCAGCAACATTTATAAAGCCACAAAACACAAAGACCCACAGTGATTTACTAAGGTAGGAAATATCCCACGTTACAGGTGGAAGAAAGGACACAAAACCGTGCACGCAGTACGAGGGTTCCGCTGTGTGGCTGCTGAGTACCTGACAGGTGGCTGAACTTGCTACTCCCTTGTAATCAAATGTCAATTTGTAATCAAAACAGCAACCCTAGAGAGCAGAGTAAGTGACCTGTCCACACGCCCCGTCAGAAGATGAAAGGCAGCGTGCTGCTCGGGCCTGCAGGTGGGCAGTGGGGTCCTTGCCCACCCAGGTGAAGCCCACTCCAGCAGCCCTGCCTCGCCACAGCTCAGCCACCAAGTGACAGGGACTCGAGTGTTACCCTACCTTTACCATGACCAAGGGAAGGTCAAAGGAGGCATTTCCAGCTGCTGGGGAGCTGGACTCAGGAAAGCACACACTCTACCTTAATGGCCAATCCAGAGAGGTCTGCACTGTCCGGCACCGGGGGCAGGTCCAGCCGCACGTCCATGTCATATGTGCGGCTGTGCACAAGGGCGCCGAAAAGCGAGACCCGGGTGTCTCTCTCAAACCTGTCACTGCAAGGATCCCCATATGAGAAGAGCCCCGTGGTGGGCAGGCCAGTGCCTGGGGCCGCCTCCATCACCTGAAGCGCCTTCTGGATCATGTCCTGACATAAGTACTCCTCCCTGGAGATCAAAGACTGGACGTCCAACTCAAACACACTCAGGTCGTAGCAGTCGTAGCCGCCGTAGGGCACGTTTCGCCCCACGTGCCTGTTGTTCCAGAAGTAGTCCCTCTTGCGCCGCAGCACCTGAGGGGGGCCGCTCCCTGCCAGCTGCACTAGGAGGTCCAAAACAGACCCCACCTCCACCAGCGGACCGCAAGGGGCCGCGAGGAGCTCCTCCACCAGCTCCTCCAGACGGTCAGCCTCGGTGCCCAGACCGCCCACTCTCAAGTCGAAGGACAGCATGAGGACCTTGTTCTTCACGGGGAGCTTCGCGAGATCAGGCTGCAGTCTGCGAGTCTCGTCTTGAAAAAGGCCCGTGAAGAGGGCATTGTAGGCCACCCTCTTGAGGCTCTGCTTTGCCCTCTGCCGGCTCACGCCGCGCTGGCCCAGGGGAGCCTTCGCGGCTGGCAGGAGGGCCTCGCACAGGTCGTCCAACAGCTGCGGGACGCTGGCCATGCCCACCCCTTCTCAGCTCCCGGCCCCCAGCAGGCGGAAAAGCACCGCGGCCGGGCTGCACCCCGGCCTCGCGGACGCAGACGCGGGAGCGGACCGCACGGGGCTGAGAGCCGGGCGACCCGAGACCGGCACCCGGAGGCTCAGCACTGGCGCGCCCCGCCGCCCGCAGCAGCCCGCAGAGCGCCAGCTCGCCGCCTGTCCCGGCCACCAGCCTTCCCCGTTCAGGGGTCACGGAGCGGGACAACCCCGAGGAGACCGCGAGGGCCGTACACAGCGGACGTGGCCCGCTCTGCACGGTCTATCTGCGTCCCGAGAGGGACCGCCGGGGTTCGCGCCGCCGGGGGAGGGAGTGTGGGGGTGGCGGCAGGCAAGGTCCCCGGGCGAGGCCTCACCCCGCAACGAGAACGCAGCAACCGCTCCCGCCACCACCATCCCCGCCCGCCGCGTCACTGCCCCCGCGACCGCTCAGGATGTCTATAGCGGTCGCGCGGGAATTGCGTCATCGGAAGGGCGGAGCGGCGGGCAGGGCACTTCCGGTTTGGCGTGCCGGGGCCGAGTAGGGGAGCGTAGGCCCACTGCGGGCTGGACTGAGGGGTGGAGTCACAGTTTCGCTAGTTTTCGGTGCTTGGGAGGGTGAAAGCGGACGGAGGGGGCACTCGCTAGGCTGGACTGCGCACGCCAGGAGTGGGGGCTGGAGCGGGGCCCCCAGCTGGACCCCGGCCATCGCCGCGTCCGTCACAGACCCAGCCCGAGCGCGTGCCGCGGGCCTGTGCGCTGCGTCTCCTCCAGGAAGCCCACCGGCCTGCAGCTGCGGCAGGGAGAAACCCCGGCGCCCTGGACTCCTGCTTCTCTGCCACTACCAGACCTCCCAGCTCCCTGCTCTGGCGCTGCCGCGGCTCGCTGGGCCCGGGCTGCACGTGTGCGTGTCCCGTGGCTGGCCGGGCCTGCGGTGGAACCCGGCGCGGACCCCCACGGGCTGCGAGCGGCCGCGAGGACAGGTGCGGGCGCCTCGGACCCGGGGCTGGAGGGTGAGTTCTCCCCGGATTTCCAGCTCCGCGCGCGGTGTGCGGGCGCCCCAGGCCTTGTCCTGGCGGAGGTCTCCTTCTCAGAGCTGGACTGCCCGGTCGGACCTGCGCTGCGCTAGAGAACAACCTCGGAGAAACGGGCCCAGAAACCACAGTGCTCTCGGGGGACCCCCTTCCTGAGACTCAGCCGGTTGTGTTTTTAACCCCGCGGAGCCTTCTCGTGTGCGTCGCTCACAGAGTGGACTAACTGAACTCGAAGCAGCCAACCAGGGGAAATACATGACCCCTCGGCATGTTTCCTGTGCTTGTCTCTGATGGCGCCATGGCACCGTCCGGGCACACTGCTCGTTTGTTCACGCTGAATCAGCTGCCCTGCTCTTTATCGGCAAGTCCCTGGCTGATTTTGGCAGAATGGACAATGAGCCTCCCATCAGGACGCAAACAGACCCTCAAGACCTCTCCCCAGAATTAAAGAATACTCTAGAAACCACGAAGCTCTTCAGGGCATCCGGCTTACAAAGCTCAGAGCCTCGCTATTCCCTGCACTCGTCCCTGTAACGCCCATTTTACCTGCTAGACCCGGGGGGGGGGGGGGGGGGGTGTCCAGGTCCTTGGAGCAGCTCCCTGCTGTTCCCGGCCCCAGGTGCTACGGACATGCACTCCCGCCCACAGCGAACTCCTCATAAGGACCTGTGGGGTGCGTCTTCCAGGATTTCAGTAGGTGAGCTAGGCAGTATGGTTTGCCTTCACCTGGACAGAAATGCCCCAGGGTTCCAGAGCCCTTCTCACTGTTCACAACCTCAGAAGCTGAATCAGAAGATACAAAGCTTTCTGTAGGCTACACCTGGTTACAATACGCAGGTGATACGCTCTTCTGCCTTTCTGCACCCCTGCACAGGAGGCGGCATCCACCTGTTAAAACTTTTAGCTTTAATAGGACATAAAATCTCCAGAGGAAAACTGCAGTTTACTCAAACTCAGTAACAATACTGAGGGAGCCTAATTTCAGAACAACGACTACATTTGGATCCAGTTACAGGGCTTCCTGAGACTGGCTGGCTGCCGTCACAGTTGGGTCCCAAACGTCTCTCTTATGACTCAGCCCCTGTGTGCTTTGCTGAAAATGCAAACCTAACCCTATTATTTGGAAAGATCAGGAAGACATAGTTTTGGGGACTTTGAAGAAAAGCCTGATAAAGCCCCCTGCCCCCATACATCCTAATGGTGGATTTCCTCTTTTCCTTTTTGTACATGAGGGCGAAGGGGATGACTTGGCTAGACCCCTGCAGAAATGGTCACGGGGTCCCCTCTAACCATCCTTATATTTTGGCCAAGGGCAAAACCACGGACATTTATACCGATCGTCAGGATGCCTTTGGGTAGCTCATGACTTTGCAGAATGTATTCGATACCATCCATCAGCTGGATATCGTTGAAGCTCCCGGGCGTTGTGGGCTCAGCTCCCTGGAGGCCAGAGTAGTAATCCTGCTGATATTTCTGCCAAAATGCTGCTTGGTCAGTGGAGCGTGGGACTCTTGGTCTTGGGTTGTGAGTTCGAGCCCCACGCTGGGTGTGGAGATGACTTAAAAAGAAAATTGAAAGAAAAGAAAAGAAAACCAATAGCCAAGCCTCTGTCATGGTCCCAAGCGACATTCTCCCAAATGATAATTTTGGAATACCAACCAGAAGTGCCCAAAAAAGGAAAATCTGGTAATAGCTGATTTGATAAAAAAGAAGTCTGGGGGCGCCTGGGTGGCTCAGTGGGTTAAAGCCTCTGCCTTCAGCTCAGGTCATGGTCTCAGGGTCCTGGGATCGAGCCCCGCGTTGGGCTCTCCGCTCGGTGGGGAGCCTGCTTCCTCCTCTCTCTCTGCCTGCCTCTCTGCCTACTTGTGATCTCTAATAGATAAATAAAAATCTATAAAAAAAAAAAAAAGAAAACAGTCTGGTTGGGCCAGTTAACAAACCAGCGCTCCCAGAAACCCTAGAACGCCCGCTGCTCACCACAGCCTGCCATTAAACCATTAAGCCGCCAGCCTACTGACAGAATGAGTGTCACAAACCGGTATCGTTGAGGAGATAATTAGGCCACAGCATGGCCCCCTCATTTGCCCCACCTGTCCACACAAGTGGATCTCCTACAGCTTCCGTGTCTCCTGGCCCCTGTGTTTTCTCACTGGACCGAAGCTTTTTCTCCTGGACAGGCCAGTGCTGCTTCTGTGGCTAAAATTCTGTTAGGAAAGACTGTCCCTACCCAGGGAACCCCTCTTGAACTTCCTCGAGGCCGGAGAACTCCTCTTGCTGGGCGCTTCAGCAGACCTGCCCTTTGCTGCCCCCCACCCCCATCAGTCCCCGAGTTAGTCACATGCACCACCAGCACTGGTGAGCCTCAACTGGCAAAATCCATACACTTTCCAAATACCAGAGCATTGCGGCTGGTCCTTCTAACCCTCGGGTCCACCCCCTGGGGAACTGCCAGACTCCCACCCTTGGAGATTTCCAGGACCATCCAATGCACTTGGCCCCCACCTCCTCTGACCCACGTTAATAAAAGGAGATGTACTTCCATACTGTTCTTTGGGTCTAATTTCTTCTATTGAAAGTAGCCATGCGGGACGCCTGGGTGGCTCAGTCGGTTGAGCATCTGCCTTCCGCCCAGGTCGTGATCCCAGGGTCCTAGGATCAAGTTCTGCGTTGGGCTGTCTGCTCCACAGAGAGCCTGCTTCTCCCTCTGCCTGCCGCTCTCCCTTCTCATACGTTCTCTCTTCTTGCAAATAAATAAGTGAAACCTTAAAAAAGTAACCATGCTTTGGTGGTGCCCGGGTGACTCAATGGGTTGAGCGTCCAACTTGGTGTTGGCTCAGGTGGTGATCTCCTTGGTGGTGAGGTCGAGCCCTGCAGCGGGGCAGGAGTGCTCAGGGGGAAGTTAGCTTGGAGATTCTCTCCCTCTGCCCCTCCTCCTGCCACTCTCTTGAATGAATAAATCTTTAAAAAAAAAAAAAAGTTTTAAAAAGTAGCCATGCTTCAAGAGAACAGTGTACACAGGGAGTTTCTGGGAGATGGAGAGGATGGCCTTAAGCACCACATCTTGCGGCCTGGACATACCGTTTATTGGAAAAGACACCTCCAGAAAGACTCTTCAACCTTGCCAGGAAGGCCCCTCTCAGGATCTGTTAACCAGCCCTTGTGCCTCCCAACTCCAGGTAAGATACTCTGATCCACCGGACGCGTGGAGAGAAGGCCCCCAAGCCTGACGAGACCCGCACACCAGCCGGCGACCTGCAAGTGAAGACCTCCCGTGCTGAAACGGACATCTGGGGAGACAGCTTTCCTGAGATGTGCAGAGCAGGCCCGTGCATCTTCTCCTCCTTTCCTTTCCTTCTGGGGGAAGACAATGCCCTGTGGGGATCTCCTAAACCCCGGGGACAGGGGAACCTCTTTTTATGGCCTTGCAGGAGCAGCCGCACCATGACACCAGGACAAATGAATTTTCCGCTCGCTTGTTTTGAAGGGTTAGAAGGTTCGTGTTCACAAAAGTCCCTCTTTCACCTGACCTGATCTCTTACTCTGGATTCTTACCCAAATTCAGTCTGTGAATTTGCACCATGCGGGATGTATTATGGACGACGGTTGTTTCCAGCTCTTTTGAGAGAACGGTACAATCTCAGCGCGTCTTTGAGGTTTTGCTCTTTTTGTTAAGCTGTTGCTTCGTTTTTCCCAAACACACTTAGCTAACTGCTGTCCTGTGTTCTCTCAGTGCCCGCCTCATGCCCCCCACCCCCGCCCCAGGAAGAACTTTTCTCCCCTAAATTGAAGTAAGTGCCAGTACCTACCTTCAGTTGGCGACTACAGATCTACGGTGTAGTTTAGGACCATCGCACAGTTTGGGACTGTTACGTTACCTCTTCTGTTTCGAGTAGCTATTTTAAGTTTCGTGTTTTGTTAACTGCCAAAAAACTTTTGTAAAACCCATGTGCTCACTAAGGAAATGATATTTGTAACCTTGAGAAGATGTAGACTTTAGACAGGAGGTATCTGGCCGTTCTCCCTCCTGACCGCCCATCTGACTCAGATGTGCCCTCAGGTGGTTTCCAACTGGCACACACTTTCTCTCCGATGTAGGACTGGACAGGCAGAAAAGTCCTTCCTGGCACCAACAGACAAAAACCCTAAACACGGAAAACCTGACTCCTGATCAGTGATGCTTTCGAAGAAAGAAAGGTCTTGATCAAAAGGGGGGAATGTGGAAATAAAGGGAAACTTTCCGAAGTGTGCCTGGGTGCTAGAAGGGGAGGCTAGAAGGGGGAGCTGTGCCTCTCCACACCGATTACAGGAAGGGGCCCAACAGAAGAACCACCAGCAGAGAATCATCAGAAAATCGTCACCATCCTGACCTCTGGCTC